TGATGCACCTTGGCCAAAAAGCAACCTCAGCCTGCTGAGACAGGTCTCCGCATTCTCCTGCAAAGGTAAGCTTCGTGGGCTTGAGGCAGTAACCTCAATTTGCTTGCGATGGTAGATGTCATTTACGATGAAAAAATAAATCAAATCAATAGTATTCATATTTTTGTGGTAACTTTAGTAGGAGTCAGTATAATTCAGTATTTTCAATGTAAGATTTAGATAATTTATTATAATAGGGAATCTGACAAATCAGTTTTGTGATTCCAATGTAAAATATATCATTGAGTAATTGATTTTAGACATACATTAGAGATTTTTACTAGTTTGCAAATAGTATTGAAAGAGAATCTGAAATTCACTGTAAGTTTAATATAATAGATTTATAAATTATTAGATTAATAGCTATTTACTAGGTATGTGACTAGGAGCAAGTAACTTAAACTTCTTGTGGCTTGGTTTTCTAACCTGTAAAATATGTATGTTAGTACCTATTTCATAAGCTTGTTGTAAGGGAATTAATGAGCTTATACGGGAGTTTGCAATAGTGCCTAACTTTTAGTGAATGCTCAGTAAGTCAGTTATTGTTGTTTTATTATTTATATGAGGAGGTTTGTTTGTTAGATCAGGCATTTAAATACAGTATTTAAAAGGTAAAATGAATATGTATCTGCTATTTTTAAATGTTTAGGGAAATGTAGTAACAATGTTGTAAGTGAAGCAGTTATTTAAGGGAATTTAGTGTATCGCAACTGAACTGAAGGAGCTTTAGTTTCCTCTCAAGAAGGATGAGGCTCATGTTTCCCACTGTATCCCCAGCACCTAGGTATTTGGTGCATAGTGGGTGCCCAACAAGTATGGAGATACATGTTACAGAGGATCATCAGCAGACCTTGGGTTCAGGGAGAGGAGGGATCTTTGAAAATGATTGTTAAAATTTCCTAGCTTTATAAATAGATGAAATTGAGTTAATCATAAAGACTTAAAGAAAAATAGATTTTAAAAGTTGTTACCTTAATACATCAAATACTAATTTTTAAAAAAGTAACAATAAACAATCTTTTCCATCCCTTCTCCCCGAGATCACCCTGAGGCATTAAGAAAACTCACCATGACATTTCAAACCTTATAACACACTTCTCCCTTACACAAATCCTTTGTCTTGGCATCCCCTGAATACTTACCCTAACTTCTTTGGGGAGTCCCCAGGGATATTTACATGTGCTCACAAACACCAATTCATCATCATCATCACCATCACAGCAGCCACCACCTTTTGTACCTTTGGTGTTTTGTACTAAGCAATGTACGTGATTAATGGCATTTGGGAATAGCTAATAATACCCAGCAATTACTATTGCTTCTTTGGGTGCCAGGCACTGTTCTGAGCCCTCTGTGAGTATTACATATTAACCTCCATCTCACAGTCAAAGAAATGGAGGTTTCAAGTGTTAAGTGACTTGCTGAGGTCTCACAGCTAGGAAGTGGTATGGCCAGGCTCTGAATCAGTAGTCTAACTCCAGAAACCATGTTGTGATGAGGCTGTGGCCTCTGAAAGCATGGGGGTGTGGCCGCTGGGGCCAGTGCTCTCCTGAAACGCAGATCCTGTCTGGGCCAGCCCTTGATGTTCCCAAAGAGACAAAACTCTCTTGTATTGTTCACATAGTGCCAGGGGCCCTGTAATCCTTATGGGGCTGGGACTGGGGCTGGGGCTGGAGCTGGGGCCATGTACATTCCAAAGTACAGATGGGGAGGCTGCTGCTGTTGCGACCCCATGGAGTTTTATCAGTGGGTTCTGAAAGAGTCCCTTGTGAAAAGCTGCCTTAGCCATCTCTCTTCATCTCCATCTCTCCTACCCAGGCACAGGGGCATCACCAAAAGAGAAGAGAACCTTCTTTAGCTAAAAGCCTCCTGTAAGTCAGCTCCTGTTAGTTGCTGTTTGGAAGGTCTGTCCCACTAGTGAGCAAATCACCTCAGAGAGCCTTGAATTCTGGTTGCTCAAACTGAGACCCACCTGGCTGCTTTACCTATAAACACACTTGGGGGCTTCCCACCCACACCTGTTGCTGTCTCCTCCAACCCTCTGCCCAGTTAAAGTGTCTTCACCTTTTTGCTCTATGCCCATAAGAACTTGCCCAACTTTCAATGCCAAATCAAGGCACCCCTCTCTGTGAAATTTCCCACATAACTTCAATTCTGATTATCTGGTCCATTAACTATCTGTATCACCACTCATTTGGTTCTTAGCACACACTCATTTTTTTGAGTAATCAGTCTATCAAATGAACATCAGCTTATTGACAGCAAAGCCAAGTTAGGAATCTCTTGCATTGCACAGGCTGCTGAGCTCTAATAATAATTTCTCAATGGTTTGAGCTTCCTTTTTTCTTGCTCTGGGCCCCACGTCTGTCATCTTATGTCATCCCTTCTTTCTTAATGCAGTTACTATCTACACCTAACCTATGGAGTTTCCTTCCTACATTATACTGTCTAAAGTTTCTGACTTCCTTGTGAAGATGGTCAGTGCAACTTTGGCAGAATCCAGTCTTTAATCTGTTAGTGTAGATTTTTCTGCTTTTTTTCTGAGACTGATTCCAGAATCTTTGGTTATCCAGACCGCAGAGCCTTTTGGAGAGAGCAACTGGGTTCACAGGCTCCTTTGTCTTAAACTAATTAGCATTTCTGAGGAGGTTGGACAAAGAGATCGTTCATTATGTGTTTATTGAAGGTCAACTTTAACCAGGCATTGCGTGAGGTGTTGGTATACAACCATGAACAAGGCGAAGTCCCTAACCTCCTGTAGCCTCTGAACTGTGGAGGATACATGGTCTGAGAAGTGCTGTGGAGAAGGAGTAATGCATTGTTTTCAATCTTTTTACAGCTGTAATCGTGAGAAATGCATTTTATATCATGATCCAGTACAAACGTACACACCTATGTATGTACATTTATACATCTGAAATAAAAGTTTCACAAAAGTCTTACTAAGTTTGATGTCCTCTGGAATTTTCTACTTAGTTTATGCAATGTTGGTCATGACCCACTAAGCTAATTTTGTACTTCATCAGTGGGTATCTGTCTACAATCTAAAAAATGCTGGTAATGGTTAAGAGCACAACTCTAAGGTCAAGCTGATGGCTTTCGGACTTGGCTCCACCTCTCCCTGTCTGGATTTGGGCAAGTAATCTGCATGCCCTTGTTTCTACATGTGCAAAATGAGATAATAATCACAGTAGTACATATCACATGGGGTCCACTTGAGAATTCAATGAAAAAGGAGAGAATGTGTGTAAAGGACTTAAAATAGGGCCTTAACACATGGTGAGAGCTCAATAAACATAGGTGGCAAGTGCTGGATGCCATGATGGAAGAGCCGAAGCACTCAGTCTGGGGAGATGAGGGAATGCTATTAATGTTGAGACTTTAACAAGTAGTAGGATTTATTCAGAGTAAGGTTTAAGCAGGTGAATTAGGAGTAGAGAGAGGAGTAGAAAGTTCTATACAGAGAGGGCAGCCCTTGCCAAAAGCTGAGAGGAAGAACTTCCTACCTTGTACGACCTGAGAGCTTCCCAGTATGGCTGCAACCTGAGGGATATTTGTGACAGATGAGGTCAAAGATGGCAGCAGGGGATCAAGTCACCAAGGGACCTGAAGCCACCTCAAAGAACTTTAGACTTTAACTTACATGTAAAGGGATTTTATTAAGCCTGTTCAAAAGGGAAATGATATTATTTACCTTCTCGAAAGACCATACAAGTTGTAGGGTAGAAATGGATTGGAAAGGAAAATTCTTGGGGCAGAGGACCAGTCTTTTGCAGTATCTTGATGGAATTTGACAGCAACTAACCAAGGTTAAGAAAAGACCAGAAACAAATTAAGAACTAATTGGATACGGGGATGTGAGTGAGAAAGGAAGGGTAATGAATCATTCTTAGGTTTCTTACTTGAGTACCAGGGTGGCAGGTGGTGACACTTGTTATTTTTTTATAAAATACTGGATAAAAAGACATTCCATTTTTGGAGAAGTTGAATTTTGAGGTAAATGGAACCTTGTTGAAAATTAAAGTTTCCCGATTTTGTTAAGCTGTTTTCTGACACCCTTTGGGGTAGTAATTCCCTAATGCAATGATTCTTAAAACTATGGTGTCCATGAGAATCACCAGGACAATATGGGTGTCAGTGTGTGTGTGTTGTTAGAAATGCAGGGTCCTGGGCTGATAAGCCAAGATTCTGGAGACACTAGTTGCAGCCCAGGACTTAAATCTTATCAGCCCCAAATGATTCTGATGGAGGTAGTTTCATCACACCCTGAAAACCAAAGAACAGAAACCACCTTTCCTGTGTCTCCAACATGATTGTTTTCTACTATCCATTCCTTCCTACCTCCCAGGCACCTGCTTTGGGGTCCCTGTTACTTCTGACTCCTTCCACTCTCCATGAGAGCGAGGACTTCGACTTCCTAACAGGTCCATCTCCAGCGCGCCCAAAACAAAATTTGGCACAGAAAGGGCCCTCTAGAACCGTTCGCCTAACGAATTAAGGAGCGAATAAATTTACTGTTTCATACAAAACCTTTCGCTTTTAAATACCTGGCAGGGTTTGAAATAAAGAAGCAAAGGTCATTCCAATGAGACTGGCAAGTCAACGCTGAGGAAAATGGGGGGAAACCCGTTTCCGATTATCTAGCCCACCGAAGAGGTCTTAATTCCCGAGGCAAGAAACGTTGCTATTTCCATTTCAGCAACCATCTTGGGCTGCCTGCGCCATTCTCCCGGGCGTCCACAGTCGGCTAATCAGGTTGCTTTCGTTGTTCCGGACCCATCCAAACCCTTGACGCTAAGTGTGAACGCGAGGAAGCCGCGGGGGAAAACAGAAGCCGCAGCCGAACCCCCTCCGGGCAGACCCCGCCGAGGTAGCGCCGACCTCCCCATCATGGCTGCCGACGGGCGGGGAATCCAAGCCCGTGCGTCGCGTGCGTGCCTCCTCTCCCTCCCCTCCCCCTCCTCGGCGGCGGCGGCGGCGGCAGAGGCGGCAGCGCTCGCCATTGCCGCTGGTGGCAGGAGGCTGCGAGGAGCCGGCGCGGTCGCAGTCTCCACGGCGCAGGCCCACGGTAGCGCAGCCGCTCTGAGGTGAGTGCCCTACCGCGCAATCTCCAGCTATTTCAGCCCCGGCGCAGCCGCAACACGCCGCCCGCCCGCCGGCCGGCCGGCCCGCCCCGCAGCCTGCACCCTGCCGCCCCCGGCTCCGGGCCTGGGCCCCTGCCGGATTCGGCCTGCCTCGGGCGGGGGCCCCGGCCCGGCCCAGTCAAACCGCCACCCCGAGGATGCGCAGGCCGCACTAGGCCCCAGGCGTCCTGGCGGGCTCGGGAGGGAGGCGCTGCCCTCCCGAGAGCCCCAGGGTTCCGGCCTCCCCCGCCGTCTGAGGCTCTCGGGGCCGCGGCCTCCCTCCAACCCGGGGCTCGGGCCTGGCCCTCCCGCGGGCTCGGGAGCGGGAGGCCCGGGAGAGCGCGCCGGGCCCGGGAGCGGGAGGTGGGCGGGCTGCCTGGGACAGGACCCGTGGCTCCCCACTGGCCCCTTCGGCCCTTCCCGGGTCTGGTCCGCGGGCGGCGCGGCGCGGCGGGCTAGGCTGGGGCGCGGGAGCCGCTGTCTCCTGAAGGAGAGGAGGCAGGTTCTTTGGGCGACCTCCGAAGCCAGTCTCTCTCGGGGGTGGCGTGGGCTTGTTACCCAGGTATACTGGGGGACGCTGGAATATGGCGCGTTGCCCACCTTCCTGCAAGTTAGGGGGCGGCCCGGGCGGCAGCGGCGGCAGTTCGAGGAGGAGGGCGCAAAGTCCTTTTGTACGCAGAAATAAGGAGCCACACTGTTTTCTTCCCCAGCTGAGATGCTACCCGTGGATGGGCCTCCTTTCTTCTTGTGCCTGGGGGTAGTGGTCCCCTGGGTAAGGGAAAGGGGGAGTGGCGCGACCCTCGGAAGGAACCGAACCGTTGCCACTTGGAAAGACGGGCTCTGGATGGCCTTGTGCATGGTTATTATACCACATCCTCAGCCTTTCGGGGAAGTCAAGGGTTTGTACCTGCATGTTATTCACTAAACTGTGCAGTGATGTCCACCGCCTCTCCCACCTGTTGTGTCGTTGCTGCTGGTCCCAAAGTTTCTATAGTGTATCTGACTGTATCCATCAGACCTTGAAGTTGTTTTAAAATCTTAGTATTTTTAGGGCTTCAAATGATAACTGCTCCATCCTGTTGGAGGAGCCGTTGCCTAATCTCCATCCCTTCTCAGCATTAGATTAGAATATATTAATTGCTTAGTTTAAAGCCGGTTGTCAGTTGTGCTAAATTCTTTCTGTGGTCAGAGCACAATATACATTTTTAATGTGTAGAGACAATGTGTTAAACTCTTAAGGTGAAAGATGGTATGAATGAGTCTGTCAGCTTGGACAGTGCTCAGCAGGAGAATAAGTATGCATGTCACAACTATAGTCCCAGAGCATCATCTGCACTCAACGGTGATACTTTTTCCATTTCATCCCAAAAACGTTCCATTTCCTTTGGCCTTGAACAGTAAGTTATTGTGTTCTAACTAACAAGGGAAGAGGGGAGGGAGGACCTTGGAAATGCTGGATTTTTTTTTTTCCCAGTAGTAGCCTGACTCCCTAGAATTGTGTTGAAAGTTCTTGATGTGTTATCCTATAATGTGAAAAAATGACTAGTTCTGTCTGCACATCTGAGTGTATTGCCCTTATTTTATGAGCAAACATACAATTATCACATGTAATGTAGTATACTTACTCTTGGTCCTAAATTGGGTGCAAAATTTTTTGTGTCAAAGGACTTTTTTTTTATGATGGGTTATATGTGACTTTCACCAGGGTTCATGACAAAAACCAAACCAAAACAAAACCATCAGATCAGGAATCACTGTCCAGTTTTTGGCTCATCCTTATCTGAAGTCATTTGATTTCATCCTGTGTGTCTTCCTCCCCACCCCATATATGAGGGAAACAACATATATGAAGGAAAATGACTTTTTGCTTAGTAGTCAGTAGTCTGTTCTCAGCAAAAAAGAAGAAAGTTCCTTATTCTCAAATCGATTTGAGAATCTCCAATTTTCATGGATATTGTTTACTTACCAGAGTTTTAAGGAAATTTAGCTCCTGGATTTAGGGAAGCAAACTGTAGGAGTAGGAGATAATGAGATTCCCTTGTCCAGATGTAGAAGGCATTAAAGGTGAAAGGACTTCATGTTTCCCTTCCAATTCATTTATATTCCAAGGGAAACCCAAATTGTAGGGTTTTTTAAATTAAATCACAATTACTCATCTATCTCTAATTTTGTTAGGGAGCTGAAAATCACCTTCCCATGATTTAAATTCCTGAATTTGCATTGCCTATACACATGACTCTTGAACATGGTATGAGTGCGTACTTGGTGGTATGAGTGCAGACCCCTGCATAGTCGAAAACCTGAGTAGAACTTTCAGTTCCCCTCAAACTTATCTCTAATAGCCTATTGTTGCCTAAAAGTCTTCCTGATAACATAAACAGTCTGTTAATACAGATTTGTATGTTATATGTATTATGTACTGTATTCTTACAGTAAAGTAAGCTAGAAAAAAAATGTTTTTCAAGTTGCTGCAAATCTCCAAAAAAATTTCCAGTGTGTTATTGAAAAAAGTCTGTTTATAAGTAGACTCGCATAGTTCGAACCCATGCTTTTCAAGGGTACACTGTAGGTTCAACCAGACTCTTGGGTTGCCTTCAAGAAGTATTTTATGTGAAATAATCACAATGAGTGATTGTTTAAAGGGAGATTTAACCCCTTGGAGTCTGGGATTAAATTTCTTATGCCTCTTTCCTTATATGTAATAAGTCATTGAGTAAATGTTGGGAATAATGATGATGAACAGTAATTATTGAAGTTAAAAATTTATGCACAAGTATTTGAAAAGGTGTGCCTATTTTTTGGTTTCTGGAAGGGCTATGAAGTGCCAGCCTTTGGAAGCATACTCTTCAGCCCTCTGGAGAACAGGAAGTTACTGCATATGTTCAGTTTCTGTCCCGTATCTTAAGTCAAGCCTAATGCTTCATGCTGCAGAACCCTTGTTCATCATCCACTCAGTGCCACTGTGAGAAGTTGGAAGTTAAGGGGAGACTCTGTGGGTTGTTGAGTCTCAGGAGTGTCTACTGTAACTTCAGGAGTTACAGTACACTCTCTCTGTGGTTGTAATTTGTCCAGGAAATTTGATATTTGAATTTAGATGTTTGTGTGTGATGCTTATTATCATCTATCTATCTATAGTATTTAGAAAATCAGTCTTAGAAATAAATACCAATCTTTGGTTTTGTAAAAAACACTTCAGGAAATGATCTATACTAAAAGACATTTTTCTCTGTTCTTTCATGTTTTCCTTGAGAGCTAAAACTAGTGTTTTCAGCCTGAACTTACCCAAATATAATTTTTCATGAATGCTTAGTAAAACAGCAATGAAAAAGAAATCCTGTTAAGTTTATTTTAGAAACATTTTATTTAGACCAAGTTCAGTGTGTTTTTTGAAGGCCCAATACGTGTTAATTTTTCTGCATTATGCATCATATAATTTCTTCCATATTAGCTAGAGGTGGATTATCCATTTCCTTGGAGAGCAAGGAGAACAAGGAGAGCAAGCGAGAAGAGAAACAGTAAAAGGAGGTGAAACAAATCAACTTCAGGTGTTTCCAGAAGATTACAACTGCACTGAGCTATGGAAAACTTTTAATTCTGGAGCAGCAAGAATCCTTTGTCTGAAGTTATTTTGATGTAATATGGACAAAACTTATAAAATGAAAAGAAGTAGATTATATATATCTTTGAATATTTATTTTTTTCTGAAGTGCAGTTCAAAGTTAGCCCAATGTATTTTCAACCCCACTCATTGCAATTTAGTTACCAAAGCTTCAAGAAGATTTCATGATGTGGTCTTTTTTTTTCCTTTTGTCATGTGCTCTGTATGCCTAAAATGTCCTAAAATTTACTGATTTATACGAACTGAAATACGTAATTTTTTTCCTTTTGTCATGTGCTCTGTATGCCTAAAATGTCCTAAAATTTATTGATTTATATGAACTGAAATACATAGTTTATAGAGATGTTCTAGTATATTTAAAAAAGATAAAAACTACAAATTAGGGGGCAGTTAAGGTAGGCCTACTACATTTGTGATCCCTTGAGGCAAATCTGTATTATATCACCAACAGCAGTCAAAGAGAAGATAAACTGACCATAGAAATCATCTTCACAATCCCAGACTTCATAGCCTGCCTTATCAAAGTGCTACTGGGCCATCAGATAATTTCTTGAGGAAGCCATGTCTCGTAAGGCAGGGGTGTGTGTGTATGTGTGTTGGGGGAGAGTTGGAGGACAGATGGGGAAAGTAAATGTACTGTTAAATGAATCTAGTTTTATAGATTGGGATGATTAATAGAATTTTGGAGGTATAGTATTTTTAAAAGAAGCTAAAAGAGCTACTTATATAAATAGTATTTAGATTAATTCATGCATACTGATTTCTATGGTTACAAATGTGAAAAGTTTGGCTGATAGTTTAAATGGACATTTTCTTAAGAATTCTTAAATGGTGCCTGTTGGATAAACCATGCCAGGCCTTTTTCAGAATCCTCATGAAGAATGAGCTTTGTATGCAAAAATGTTAAGACTGTTTTAAAAAGAGAGCTTGTATTTTGCTGTTGGTTATTGTGAAGTCTTTGCTTTTTAGAACTTGGAGAGTCTATTTTGTTGCTGCTACTGAATACTAATGTGGTTAGGCTGGCAGCTAAACCTACAGAGAACAAGAGGAAGTGAGGAAATGTCCCCATGAAACCTTGCTTAAACCTAGGAAGTGGACTAGAAATGGGGAGCTAGGGATTTGGGGACTTAATTCTTTTTTTATGTTCAAAAGGGGATTAGACCTACCCTCCACTGAGAAATAACCTTAAGTGTGTCCTCACTTTGGAGTTTTGCCACTCATTCACCAGACATTGATTAAAGACATACTATATTCTAGGCATGTGCTAGGTGCTTGAGTAACACATAAACCATGGATCTTGTCTAGTAGGGGAGAAACCTAAGGGCTCGACTAAATACAACACTAC